GTCGACTGAACCAGCCATGCCATTAATTTTGAATTTATCAGTCTGGATAGACTCGGGGGAGGCAGGGGAGGCACAGCTTCCCCAAAATTTTGATTCCCCGAAATTTTTTTAAGCTGTTTTTAAAGCATTTGCTACATGAATAAAAAAAAAAATAGGCTAATAAATAATTCACATATCAGACAAAATTGCGTTGCAGCAAATCTTTTAAATTTTAATGTATTCAGAACAGAGCAACATAAAAATCTGAAAAAGCAGCTATACAATTATAGGACAAAGTTTTACATATATGCCATTATAATTTGTGTTTTATTTTTTAATTGTACAGAATTATAAAATAAAACGCAAATTATAATCGGGCATGTTTTAGGCTTTTTATTATTTTTTATATTTTAGACATCCATCAATTATGGTGGAAAAAAAATAACTCCTCACGTGCCTTTAGAGAGAAATGCATCTTTAGGGATTACATAATGAAATCGTTTCTATTTTCGATTTGAATTATTTCGTTTTAAAGTAGTAATTTAAAGCTTTCTATATATTTTTATCATGTCTGTGAGACAATTCGCTGAGTTTAGGTTCATCATTGTGAAGCGCTCCTGTTCAAGACCGAGACGGCAGATAGCGTTTGTTTTCTTTATTTTATAAAAGCACAACGTTTTGTTGATATTGTGAGTGCACACAAATAAAAGTAGACCCTTTACAGTTTAGAATGATGTATTACTCTTACCTTTATGAGCAAAAATGATGGGGTATTTTAAGTTGTTTCCACTGTTAGAAAAAAATGCAAGTGATCGCGCTGGCGCCTTCATGTCCTGCAGAGCGCGCTTCAGCTTCCACTCTCCGCACAAACTATTGGATATGCATCTAACAGCGCACATTTATCTAGGTTAAACATTTAAACTAACATTGTGATATGCTGGAACTGTTTTATATCCATAGATTTTATTTTAGGCAAGTCGTGATGATTTGAGAAGGCTAAATTGATCAAACATATAGGTATGAAAAAAAAAAAAAAAAAAAAGCTTACATTTAATGAAACAAAAAATGCTCCAAATGTTTTTCTAAATTAACTTTATAAAAAAACTAAAGAAATATAATCCCATTTCCATTACATACAAAACTGAACTATTTTATTAGCTGAAACAGTAGTATAAGCTATTTTGGGAAAAGGGGAAAAAAAGACTCCCCCTCCCTCCCAAAAAAATAATAAACTCTGTGCGTACCCTCGGAAGAAATCCTGCAGTCGTCCCAGTGTTATTGGATGTGAATTATCAAGATTATTGTTTTCAAACTACTTAACGTAACTCAATCTCTCTCTCAGTGGAGACCCAATGCTGGACGCTGATGGCGATTTCGATCTGGACGACACCATGGATGTAGCGAGGCATGTAGAGGAACTGCTCCGTCGACCGATGGAGGGCCAGTGGAGCGGCCAGCAGTCATGACCTTCATCTGTGACTTTTCTTCCTAAACAATGTTTTTTTAAATACATTTTTCTCCTACTCTTAGTGTATTTTCCCCATTTGTTTCTCAGTGTTGGTCTTTATGACTTTCAGTTTAGCTTTTTCTCTATCTCTCTTTTTTCTCTTTCATCACACCTCATTTACTTTCCCCCATCCCTTGTTTCTGTAGAAGAGAAAGGAGCTAATGGAAGAAGAAAACTACAATGAGCCTTCCTCTAATTAAATACCACCAAACAGTATTGTAGGAAAAGAGAGAGAGAGATGCATGTTATCTTTTTTCCTTTGTGCATGTATTTGTTTCAAATTGACTTTTCGCAGGAAAAATCTGTGAAACCCTTAAACAGAAATGTACTACTGTAAGGAACATTTTTATGTTTTTCAAACTGTTCTATGGTTTATTTTGAGGGTGTTCCGATATCTATTGCATCTGAAGTAAATGCATATTATCCTTTGCACTCTTAAACGAATGCTTTCTTGCAGACGATGACATTATTGTTACTATGGCGATTGCAATATAACGCTTCTGTACACTAAAGAGTGTTTAGGTTGCAAGGCTGTTAACATTCGTTGCACCTACATGAGCACCGACAGGCTGAATGGGTTTAATCATCCCTTCGCCGTCTGTTTAATCTGAACCGTGAATATAAGTTACACCCACATCCAAACCAGCAGCACCACGACCTGTCACTCACATCGTTGAAACTGAGGCACACATGAGAAACGCACACGCGCCCGCTCACATCCGTCCCACGTAAAGCGATGGAAACACATGGGGTAGAGAAAGGTCCGCTGAGCGTCTCGGCTCACGCTACACTACACAGGCCGTCTCTCTTTCTCTGTCTGTCTGTCTCTCTCTCCAGTGCAACAGGTGATGACCTCATCTGTTCTCATGCTTCCCTCTCGGAACAAAACAAGAGAACCCGTCGTCATGGTTACACATGCTGCTTCTGGAATGCTCCTAACTGGCCATCCTATAGGTTCGCATTTCTGTATGTCACCTTGTTACCGACCTGCATCTTTTTTCTCTCGCACTCTGCATACACCTAGGCCACTCAGGACATTGACGTACAGTTGATGTAAAATACCTATAATAATAATAATAATAATAATAATAATCGAATATAAATAAAAATACGACATTTAAAAGAAAGTACCTACATCCAGAATATATGAATTTATTTTTTGTTAACATATTTCTATTTTATTACTGTACGATGCTAGATGGCTCCATCCCTCTGTGTAGTGCAAAATGACGCTTTACTGTGTCCGATTGTCTGTAGAAGCCCTAACGTACTGATCCAAAATCAGTACTCAAAACTATTATCGACACAAAGGGGTCGGTCGCTGCCATCTCAGTAGTTTCACTTCAGATTTCAGCTGAGCTTTTGCATGGAAGAAAAGGCCAAACAGTGAAGTTAGCACGAAGAGACGTTTTCTGTGTGCTTACTGTATGTGTAATCTGCAAACCTGACTAATTACTCCCACTTTTAGATGCCTGTGTTCATTTTTAAAGGATGGTTTATTCCTCACAGTGGATGTTGTTTTTTCCCCCTCTCTATTTCTCTGTCATGGCAGAGACACATAGGAAGCCGTGTGATTTTTCTTTATCTTTGTTTTCAAATTGATCTGTCATGTTGTTGTGTAGACTGTTTCTCACTGTGTGTGTGTGTGTGTGTGTGTGTGTGTGTGTGTGTGTGCACGCATGTGTTGGCATGTTCAGCTCTGCTCTGTTTTGTGTTCGTCAATGTTTGGATGTAGCGAAGAGCAATTGAATTGACAATAAAGTTTTTTTTTGTTTTTTTTTTATAATCTGGACTCCAGCACAAGTAGTGTGAGCACTTTGTCTTTAATGTGAGAATTGAATGAACTTGGGTTCATAATTGGTGTGATTTCCCTAACTGATGATCTAACAGTTTGTGCACCTTGACATTTTACAAGCCATTTGTAGTCTTTCTATCAGGTCCTTTGTAAATGGTTTCTGAATAAGTGACTTAAGAGCAAAATCACTGTGTACTTCGCAACTACTCTTCCTAACAGCATGTTTCTTAGAAAACTCAAGAGTTTGTATTTTTCTTCATGAACTAAAAACAGACATTCCTCTTTATGGGCTCCAGTTGTTGGACTATTTTCAGCAAGAATCGAACAAAATATTCATCATTCAGGGGACCAAATGTAAAAGTTAAAGAATCTGTCAGTGAAAACATCATATTGGCCAATGTATAATGGGAAAAACATTACAACCCTGGTTTTCAAAGCTGTTTTCCTGATTATCATGATGGCACATCAATGCCACGCTGCAAGAATGAATGCCGAGTGTGAACATGAATCAACATGCAACAACCATACCTGTCCTTTTTGCAAAATCTGAGCCATTCTCTCACACTTTCATCATTAAAATCATGTGCATGAGAACACACACAAATGATGAAAACAATTATTAATCGTTTGTTGACATAGAAGCACACAAAGATTGTCCCAGGTCTTGGTAAGAGTTAGGGCCTTAGTAGGTCAAGTCAAGTCACCTTTATATAGTGCTTACAATACAGATTGTGTTAACACAGCTTTTACAGTGTTAAACAGGAAAATAGTGCGTCAATAATGCAAGAGGACAACAGAAAACAGTCAATTCTTCAGTTCAACTCAGTTAATCATTGATTCAGTGATGTCGTCCAGCTCAGTTCAGTCTCTTCCAGTAGTGTTATGTGTAATCAAGTAGACAATATTGCCAGAAATGACAAACGTTTCAGTAATATGTTGGATTAAAAGTTAGTATGAATGAATAGTCGCGTAAATAAAGCTAGCCAACAAAGTAACATAGCCATAGCAACAATATGCTGCTCCGAAGTTTTATGTTGGCAAAACAATAGAAAACTTATTGACGTTTGTTTTCACTTGATTATATTTTTAGGCTATTTAACACAAAATGCATGTGTTTTGTTTACAAAATCTTGCCGCTTAGATAACTTTTCAAACTTGGCGCGAAACGACAGTCTATGGTTGGACCACGCACAGGAAAGCATGTCTACAGGTAAGGTTAATCATTTAAAATAATGTTATAAAGCCGAAATTCCTTACAAATATATTTACATAAACATTGACACTAAAGTGCTTATATGAAATTGCAAAATTATTGCAAATTGTTTTATATTAATTTAACGTTATATAGCCTATCCTGTTGTAGCCTATATGCAGGGCTTGACATTAAGCGTTCTCATGTGGTTGTGCTTCGGACAAGTAAATTTGTCATTTACTTGCCCGGAGAGAAAAAATACATTTAAATTGAGTTATAAATATATTTATTTATTGTAGTTATACAAAACATAGTATAGTGTTTATAGAGTATGTGTATAGATTTTGTGAGCATGTCACATTTAGTTTATTTAGTTAGATTTTTCTTTTTAAATAATATAGGCAAAATAATAAAGTGAAATCAGTATCAACAAAATGCATCTTTGCAATGCAGAGGAAACACAGAAGCTGCATCTGAAGTGGAATAGATATATTTACCCACTGTTTAATGCAGCTCTGAGGGACATGGAATGCTTTAACCTGCATTACAAATTAATAAATAATGTTTTGATACATAAAACGTTGAATACTGATAATTTGAAATTATTATTTTTTTTTGTAACTTGAAATGTGAAATTAAAACCGCCAGTAGGTGGCATCAAGTCACTGTTAAAAGATGTGGATGAACCCTGAGGAGGTGTTGCTGGCCAGCGCGCTGTGGATGACAGAGAGAGCGAATCCTTACTTCATCCTGCAGAAGAGAAAGGGCCACGGAGACGGCGGAGGAGGATTAATAAACGAGTCATTGCGATTGAACCGAATCATTTAAACAGTTGATTCATTCAGGAACGAAACTCCCTCATGTTGCTCAGAGACGCAAAACAGTGCTGTGGGTGTGTTTGGAATTATTTCTGTTGGCGAAATAGAACAAAAACAGGCAATATGGTGTCTAAAACGTAAGTCTCTTAATATTAACTTCTTGTTTATTGAACTGTTGTATAAAATCACATTTGTAATCATGCTGATTTTTGGAGCAAAAAAAAAAATCGGCGCTCGATCTTCGTGTGATATTGTTTAACTATATGAAATTATATAAATATATACATTTCCTGCCCCCATATCTTGAATTTTCTGATCATTCCTCATGCACTTTAATACTAAATCATGCAGTGAAAGAACGCATGTGCACACAGTAGTCAACATTTGAAGTGGATCAAAAAAGTTCATCAAAGTTGTCCTAAGACAAGAACGCATTTTGGTTTTAAGTTTTAGGACAACTTTGATGAAAGGTTTTGATCCACTTCAAATGTTGACTACTGTAACCTACTAGACTTCTTTACGTAGGCCCAATGGATGCGTGCACTCTGTAGGTGTGTTTTGTTTGATTTTTGCAATAGGCCTACTCGACTATGTCAAATCGCACATCGTTAAAACAACAATTACGATATTATCGCAAACGATATATATCATACACCCCTATAACAAAGGCTATATCACAAATAAAGGCAGTTATTACTGTTTTTGGTATTGACATTTTCAAGTTAGGCTACTTGTCCGATTGGACAAGTAAATTTCTCTTTCACTTGCCCGTCCAAAACATTCACTTGTCCCGGACAAGCGTTAATGTCGAGCTCCCGCTATGCATATTCGGATGCCCAGTCCCGTCCCTTTGGGTTTCCGACGACAACTTAAAATGAAGTAAACTTGCCCCCTCTTTTGGTCGAAATGGGTGAATGCCATTCCGATGAGAAGCCTGCAACAGCACTGAGAGAACGAATCAATTGACTTAAATTATCTGGACACAGTATAAGCTCAAACCATCACTCCTCTCAGGAAAATTGTTATCCTTTCAGACATGATTTATAAAAAACAATTTACTGAAATTTATCGTCAGGCAGAAACACGTTTTATGTCTCTATTTGCAAAGAGAATATTGCTTGAGGAAAGAGCTCATCTGTTGCTTGGAGACAGAAACCTGTGCTTAATAAAGCCATATAGAAAAGCAGTATGCCAGGTACTGCACTAACAAAAACTGAACCACAAGATAAATCAGAGTAAGCTGGTCTGCTTTTTGACCTACTGGAGAGAAACAGAATCAAATAAAATACAGTGACTCGCAAAATTCAGTCTCTGATTGGGTTTCATCTTTGGCAGTACATTCTGAAACAATTAGTGCCACTAAACCTAAACACATTTTGTATTTATTATATGCATTACCTTTCATATCGATTAAAATTGCACCTTGTATCTTTATGATTTTAAGCTAAATTAGGACACACCTTAGACTTATATAACCAACATTTCGAAAGTTATAGTTAAAAAATAATAGGCTATCAATATGATCTTCAAACACACGTTAACTCTCAGTCCCTCTTTACTCAGCAATGGCGAAATTTAGCTCTTTATTTGCATCTTGGCATGTTCAATCCTGTTCATTTTCTTGTCAATGTGTAAACACGTTAAAATTTAAAATCAATGAAGTGTCTGAGCTTGACAAGTGCATAATCAACAGTCCAGTGCGCGCTGTTAAATACTTAGAGACTTAAATACTTAGCCTACTTAATTTACAACACAAACATATTTATTTTTGAGAAATCGTATGCTTAGAGAAGGATACTGCATAACAGGAATTACCATAACAGTTTTTTTAACGAAGTATTTTATTTTCATATAGGTACTGTGCGTCTGCTTTAGTCACCGATATTAATTTATTCGCTTTTTCACCACCAGATGTCGCTGAAACACAACTGAGAAGATTGGAAAGTTTCATGAGCTGTCAGTTTTGTTTTCACTGTCGCGGTTTAGCGTCTGCTCTCTACTAGCAGTGCGCTGGTTACATTTTCTTGTATCTATTAAATGTAATTAATATCTAAATATTGTATAGTGTTGAAAAGTGCTTCGGGTGATTGAGTTCAGTGTTTCTTTGTTATGCTGACGTCTCCCCGTTGATTTATTTTTCCTCTCAGAGTTTTGCAAGGTCAGATTTGTGAGAAATTGTGTTGCTTTCGATTCCTCATTCTGTGATCAGAGACACTGACAGGAAATAACACTCTTTTCTCTCTCAAACCATTGTCTTTCTTTTACACTTTTGCTTTTCAGTAGTACAGTTCTTAGATTTGATCAGTTAAAATACTACATGAAAATAGATTTTTTTTAAATGTATTAATTGTAAAAAAAATTTTACATCTACCTGCATCTCGAAATAATGATTCACTTTAAAATGAATATTATATTTTACATTTTTTATTAATATTATAATTGTTGCACATTTACATTTCATTTGAGTGTTGTAGCCTGTGACTTTTTTTTTTTTTTCGAGTGAATTATTTTCATATGTAAATGTTTAGTATTTTGTTTGAGTCTTTGCATTGAGGTTCAGGGTGGAGTCTGTGCTGAAATGTTTTGCAGTGAATCAGTGGAGGGTGGAAGATTGAAATATGGCACATTTCCTGTCTCAGGATGTTATTGTAAGAAATTAATATCCTATATGATTTGCCTAAAGAGAGATCAAAGTGATACATTTTTATCACTGTTGTTTCCTATCGGTCTCACTCAAATGAGTGAACTGATGCTGAGTAGAGGACAACAGACCGACGGTAGCACTCAAAAAAGCAACACAGATGATAACTCACAATGGAAAGTGTGGCCATATCAGGTGTATGTCAGCACAGTTCAGCCTTTTACCTCCTCCTCCATCAAAAACCGATAATTTCGGTTAGACTCTTTCAAATATGCTGTTTTATGCAAGATCTCCTTTGCGTGATTGTTCGTTTTATGGTTTATAACAATTATTTAAATTTTACAACATTTTAAGCAGTACTTGCCCATTCCAAAGCTATCTGTTTTAAGCCTGATTTGGTATCGGTTGCATGAGACTGTGGATGAGGAATATAGATTTATACTAATATTATACGTTTATATTTGTTGTCTCTATAGTGGTTAAACATGGAAAAAACATCATGCTTTTTCCACATTAAAGTTGTGGTAGAGGACAACAGACCGACGGTAGCACTCAAAAAAGCA